ACTGTGCTGACCCATTGAACCGGCAGTACTGAAAGGAAGGTGCGCTCATAGGCTACAGCTGCAGAAAAATATCAGTGTTACTAATCACTTGGAAAATGCAGATTTAAAAGCATAATGAACTGTCATTTGATTCATGTCAGAATCGCTAATATCTGATAAATGAATCAAATGAAGCCTTTGTACAACATTGGTGACAAAGGAAATTAGTTATGCCACTATGGAAAATTATTTGGTGTTTCCACATAAAAAAGTTAAAATAGAATTAGCACATGATCTACTTTATCAATTTTAACCAAATTAAAGCTACCCTTGTCATCTGGAAAAAAGCAAGTTTTTCAGACTGCTTACAACCTTGTAAGTACTCCTATAATGCAAGCTTCAAAATATGTTGTGATGGCTTCAGTATATACCTAGCACTACACAACCTGCAAAAATATAATTGTCCAACTCTTAAACATTTTCCCCTAATTTCTTTTTTCAATCTAGAAGGAAAATAAAATCAATATTTCCAAAGAATACAGTTTAATGTGAAAAAGCTCTTTCGTCATTTTGGTGTTTTATTTGTACAGCAAAACTGTTATTACTAGATGTGCCCATTTTACAACTTGTACTTACTGAGGAGTTGCTTTTATAGCTATGATCCTGTTTGTAATGATTAGAACTTTCACTGTGAGTTGTACATGGTTATTTTCTTCGAAAATCACTATTTGTCATTTAAACTGTGGTTATATACACTAGTATATTTTAATAACAACATTTTTTTAAAAAAGGTTTATTTAATTTTCTTGGAAAATCACATATATTAAGAGAGGAGGACACACAGAGGGGAAGATCTTCCATCTGATGAGTCACTCACCAAGTGGCTGCAACAACCAAAGCAGAGCTGATCTAAGCCAGAAGCCAGGAGCTTCTTCCAGGTCTCCCAGGTGGATGAAGGGTCCCAAGGCTTTGGGCCATCCTTCACTGCTTTCCCTCACCACAAGCAGGGAGCTGGAGGGGAAGCAGGAAGTGGCCACCAGAATTAGAACCAGCACCCATAGGAGATCCTGGCACGTGCAAAGAGGGGATTATAACTGCTAGGCTTCTGCATTGAGCCCTAATCACAACATTTCTATGTAATTAATTAATTATTCTATGTAATTTTTCTATGTAATTCATTATGTGATGTAGCGTGGAAAACTGCCAGCTGCAATGCTGACATCCTACTGGTGCTGATTCATGTCGCAATTGCTACACTTTCCTTCCAGCTCCCTGCTAGTAACCTTGGAAGATTATCAGAATATGGCATGGGTGTGTGGGAGACCTGTAAGAAACTGGACTTCCGGCTTTGGCCTGGCAAGTCCTATCCATTGCATCCACCTGGGGAGTGACAGGTGGAGGCAAAGTTCTCTTTGCCTCTCCTCACTCTTCCCCAGTTCCCTGTCCAGCCTCTACTTCTGTCTCTTTAATTTTGACTTTGAAATAAATGAGTCTTAAAAGAATACATTTTGCTTATTCTGGATTTAAGCAAGGGTTAATCCTTTCAATAAATACCTTAAAATTGTGTCATGGCAGCCTTGGATCTACAGCAAAGGTAAAATGCAATATACCTGCCAATAATATATTTAGGAGGAGAGTTAAAGATATATGTATGCAGCATATTCATATTCAGGAAAGAAAGTGAATAAAAATGCTTTGAATTTTTTATAGATCTGACTTCTTTGGTAATTAATTAAATAGCCATTTGTTTTATTCACCTGGATGTAATATGAACTAAGTAATAAGTCTTAGGCATCCTTTTTAGGAAATACAGTAGAGATCTTAGAAGAATATTTCCCTTTACCAGACTGGAAGCATTAATTAAATTTAAACACATTTGACTGCATAAATAGAAAAATGTGTGAGGAAGTAATACAAAGAACCCTGAATGCAGAGACAAAAGGCATAGAAATTATCATCCTGTGAGTAACTGAACATAAATAAATGGCTGCTTTTGCCACTTCTGTTGAACGAATCTGGAAGTCGAATCCAGAAAAATGAGTCAAGGGAAAAAAAAATGAAAGTTGTTCAAATCTGAAAAAGAAAATCAAATTATTTCTGAAGAAAATATGAACTTATAGATAAAAACCATTAAAAAGTGAACAATAATGAAATTGTTAGAATTGATAAATGAATTTACTAAGGTTTCAAGATACAGCAATATAACAAAAGCAAACAGCATTTCTGTACACAGTGAATTATATATATTAAAAATGCACCAAGCAATAAATTCCACTTACAATATTACCTTCAAAATACTTAGGAATAAATTTAATCAAAGAAGTATAAGATTCCTATTCTCTGAAAACATTTATCTCAATATATTTTTGAAGTCTCACTTATTTTTGTCTCATTTAAGAGAGAAATTGACGTATTCCAATAAATGCAGGGTATTCTAGATTCGAGGATGGGGAAAATTGATATTGTTAAAGTGATTTAGGGTTAACTGAATCACAAACACAATCATGTATGGATAAAAATTAATTCTGAAATAAATGTTAATGTACACAAAAATAAATAAAACAATTCTTAAACAAGTATGATTGCATCAACAAAGGACAACAGAAATAAGAGACATCTAAGGGGATAAGGTAAAATATTTGATAATAATATATATCTTAAGAAGTCAATATTCCATATATGTAAGAAACCAGGACATCTCAATAACATGTAAACATTCTGTTTAAAGTAGTAGCACAGGTCCTAAATAAATGTATCTCAAAGGAAGATATGAAAATGGCCAATAGATATATGACATATAATTTCTTACTTTTCAGTACAAAATAAACTAGCATCTCAAAGAATCAATATTTCTAGAAAAAACAATACAGAAATTTGCAATACAGGTAAAGAATTGAAAAACTTGTTAAATCATTAAAATATGAACTGCAACTTGGAGGGAATTCCTGCACAAGACATGCAGTGTCAAACTACAACAACAAAATATATACAGAAGAAAATTAAAAATCCAAACAAAGGAAACTTAAAACTCAGCCATAAGAAAGAAAAAACCTTTATTAATAGTCAAAGACTTCAGCAAAGAAGGTATAAAGATGTCACATAAGCCTATAAAAAAAATTACACATCATATGTCCTCAGAGAAATGTAAACTACAGTAGTAAAATACCACTACATATCTTTTATAATGATCAAAATGCAAAATGCTGAGGCCAAAGCCTGGTAAGGACAAGCGGCTGTACAAATCTTAATCATTACTGCTGGAAATGCAAAACAATAGTTTGGAAGACCATTTGAAAGCTTCTTAAGAAACAAAAGTTACTTTTACTATATAATACACCAATCCTGTTCCTTAGCATTTATCTAACGGAGCTGAAATTTGTGCTCATAAAATGTTTCACATAGATATTTATATAATATAAATATATTAGTGTTAATCTTTACATAGATATCTAGTAATCTTTACAAGCAAACATCTGTAAGGTAGTAATATGAGTTTTGTTCATCATTTCCAAAATCTTAAAGCCACCAAGATAGCCTGCTGTAGATAACCAATCAAATAAACTGTGGGATGATCCGACAATAAGATATTTCTCAGTGTGAAACCATGCAGAATGCAGAAGGGAAATAAAAGTAAAGACGCATCACTAAATGAAAGAAGGCAGTTTGTGAAGGCTGTGCCCAAGTACAGTATATTTTCTATTACATGAAATCTTTGAAAAGCCATAACTATGGAGGCAGTGAGCAGATTAAGGTTGCCCAAAGCTGTGTGTAGAGGGGAGCAAGAAATGAGTGGGTAGAGAGTTTTTAGGGCAGTGAAATTGCATGTTGCAAAAGATGTGCATTATGTAAAAAGTGATCATTGACTTTAAGCATCTACACCAAAAGAAAACTATTTTTTTCTACAAACCTTTCAAGATGCACTCATATACAACGGTGGAAATGTGATGAAAAGTTATCCAAATCCATAAAATGTATGTATGATACCTAGAGAGAACCTTCCTATAAATAAAACAATAATGGGTAATAATAATGAATCTAAAGTTTGTGAGTGGTAGCAAGTCTGGGGGCATTGATATAGCCTATGCACATGGGCAAGAAGTCTATGGGAAATCTCCACAGCTTCTGTTTATTTTTCTTGAGAAACTAAAACTTTTTAAAAAGCAGTCTATTAAAAATGTCTGAAAATGTAAAATTTAAGAATAAATTACTTGAACAACCTAGATTTTTGGGAAATTTGAATCCTTAACATTACAAAGTTATGTGTTATTAAATATATAAAGAAATCCAGTGTGATAAAAGCACATTAGTCAAAGAATATCAGTGCCACATGAGATCAGAGGAATAGTCATTAGTCAGAGTAAGCCAGAAGTGGGGAGGAACTTATGATAAAAATGAAATAAATGTGTTATGTGCTTTGGGATACTGGAAAAATATTGTGTTTCTTTGTGTGAAAACAATGGGTTGTAGAGTAGTTATGAGAGATGAAGCAGAGAAATTCACCAGTGCTAAGAAGACTTTCAGTTACCAAGTGAAATGTAATAATTGGACTTGTGCAGAACCAGTAGCAATGTAATAGAACAGACCAATTCAGAGTATTTTAGAGGTAGATAGGTCTGGAGTTTTTAACTTGGAGGTGAATAAAAATGGAGTAATTCGTCTTGCACACATTGGGATCCCATATAGGCACTGGTTCTAGTCCCAGCAGCCTGCTTTCCATCCAGCCCTCTGCTTGTGGCCTAGGAAAGTGATCAAAGATGGCTCAATGCCTTGGGACCCGTGAGGGAGACCAGGGAAGAGGCTCCTTAGCTCCTGGTTTCGGATCGGCGCAGCTCTGACTGTTGCGACAACTTGAGGAGTGAAAGAGCAGATGGAAGATCTTCCTTTCTGTCTCTCCTCCTCTCTGTATATCTGATTTTCCAATAAATAAATAAATGAATAAATAAATCTTAAAAAAACAGTAATTACAGACTGCTCACCATTTTGGACTGAGCTGTAGATTGAATATAATGCCATTTACTTACTTGATCAAGACTTGTGGAAGCATAGACTTCAGTGGAGGGGTATCAAGGGCTCCGCTCAGACAATATTAATTTTAAGATGCCTAGAAGACAGTCAAGTATGAGTTAAGTGAGTTTGGAGATGAGAGGGCAAGTATGGGCTTAAATATGATACTCAACAGCATAATAACTATGTTAAAAAAAAACATGAGAATGCAACATTGAGAAAAATAATTCTGATCAAATAGAAGAGATGCTAGGGGAGACACAGAATGAATGCTATTACTAATTTGACTGCAAAATTACTCTTGATGATCTTGGGCCATGTCACTGGAATGATCAAAAAAATTTAATTTGACTATAAGTTAATGGTAGATCAAAAAATGTAGCTGGAGGACAGTGAAAGCAAGCAAGGACGCAAGCCAACAAAAAGAATGGCAGGTTTTGACTTTACTGTTGGTATAGCTGACAGGATAAAACAAGGTAGCTTCACCTGGTAGACCGTGAGTTCCAACAACCTTTGATCCTTGGTTGTTCATGCGCAAAGCCCAGAAGCCAGTGCTTCATGACTAGACAAAACCACCAGACCTGACTGTTTTAATTGTTCCAGTGTTTGTGGAATAGGGACTCCTTCCTTCAGTGTCAATCATCTTCATCTTGAATCCAGAGATTATACTGGGAAGGAGCAAGAGGAAAGAAAATCATTAACTTCTGGAATAAGGTGGAGTTTTTCTTGCAGAGGATGTTTTAATTTAGAATAAATGAATTGCCACTTATTGGGAAGTTCAATAATGCTAATTTTACTTTGCAGCATGTTTTGTTTTTCTTCAATTTTTATATGATTTATGGGCCAAAACAAAGTTCAGTATAATTACCATAATTTGAAATTATTTTTTCATATCTAAATGATGTTGCATAGGTATTTTTTTTATACTCCATTAAATCCTGCTTCTTTGGGCTATTAAATATATAGCAGTTCGTCAAAGGCCTCCTTCTTATGTATCATTTAGGTTTGTTCTTGTTGAAAATTTGCATGATTTTTTTCATCCTTCCTTAAATATAAAGAATCTGGCCACTGTTTTTAAAGTAAATTTGTATGTGAATTTGGAACTGAGTGGTGAAATATGGGCTTTCAGTTGTTGAAATGATTATACACCATTATTTGCCATATTAATATAGTTTATTTTGTATGACAACTAATTATACTTCCCTTAAACTTTACATTGAAGGTTTAAAAACCTCTTTTATTTATTCAACTTTCGGTGTTCTTAAATTATTATTGACAATGAGAGAATGCAAAGATTGGTGTGGTGGTAAAACAAGCTAATCCTCCACCCAAGTTGTCAGCAACCCATATGGGTGCCAGTTTGTGTTCAGGCTGCTCTGCTTTTGAGCCTGCTCCCTGCTCATGCCCTGGAAAACCAGCAAGGATGGCTCTAGTCCTTGAGCCCTTGTACCCATTGGAAGCTCTGAAAAGAATCTCTAGGCTTCTGGTCTCACATTTAATGACCCAGTTCTGGCTCTTGGGACCATTTGGGAAGTGAACCAGCAGATGGAAAATCCTTCCTTTCCCTCTCTTTCTAATTCTGTATCTAAATCTCTTTGTAAATCTGACTGTCAAATGAAAAATAAATCTTAAAAAAAGAAAATGCAGGGCCCGGCACGGTGGCGCCGTGGTTAAGGTCCTCGCCTTGCACGCCCGGGATCCCATATGGGCGCCAGTTCTATCCCGGAAGCCCCGCTTCCCTTCCAGCTCCCTGCCTGTGGCCCAGGAAAGCAGTCAAAGCCCAAAGCCCAAAGCTTTGGGACCCTGCACCCGTGTGGGAGACCTGGAAGAGGCTCCTGGCTCTGGATCGGCATAGCATCAGCCGTTGCGCTCACTTGGGGAGTGAATCATTGGACGGAAGATCTTCCTGTCTGTCTCTCCTCTCTGTATATCCGCCTTTCCAATAGAAAAATAATAAAAATAAATCTTAAAAAAAAAAGAAAATGCAAGCTTGATAAAAGCAAATTAGCAATTTATGGATCTATTAAAAGAAAAGTTTCTTTTTAAACCCTTAAATTGGTTCACCCATGTTGAATTTAATTAGGACTGAAGTGAAATAAAATGAACTTACCAAGTGTTTCCATCTGGGATGAAAGTAGAACATCCAAGAATGTAGTTGGGATGGTGTAAATTTCAGGAATGACATATAGACTCACAAGAAAGTAGTGACGCTTCTCTTTTCTTTTGTTGAGGAAAGATAACATTAATTCATATTTACTTCAATGTTATACTTTTCTGGCAATTGTTTCATTTGTCATGACACCACTAGATCTTATTTGAAATATGTAGCTGTAGCTTGAGGTTTTGTTAAAATCTCATAGATCCAATTTATTTATTCTTGAATTTAAAAAATAACTACCATTTTAAAAAAAATTTGCATCCACAGATTCATTCTCACTGGTTTCTACAACTTAAGTTGCTTATTCTTAGTTGGGTCTCTTCTAGCAATTTTTATCGAAACCTTTACAGCCCCAAAGGTAGCATATGTGTTCTCCAAGTCTTTCAATGAAGTTCCCCTTAACATGTGTTAGCATCTTTTTCATATTTTATGTATCTGAGTCCTCCTTGTATTCTTCTTTGCTCCCGTTTAAAACTTAATTATTCTAACCTTCTTTTTCACTTACAGATTAGGATTCAAACCCTCAACTTCTTTTATTTGTTGTGATGTTCTTTCTGTTTGCATTCTTATCCCCAAGATCTATTTTCCCTTCTTCGTCTCTTTCTTTCCCCCCTTCTTTGCATCCTTCTTGGCGTCACCAGCATCTTTCTTTGCACCCTTTTTGTCATCCTTCGGTCCACCCTCTGCATCGCCAGGCTTCTTTTCATCTTTTTTATCTTTTTTACTGTCCTTCTTCTTTGCATCTTTCTTGGCATCCTTTGCCTCATCACCTTTCTTTCCTTCCTTGTCTTTCTTTCCACCAGGTTTTTCAGCTTCTGAATCTGGAGGTGTGTCTTTCCCCTTCTTTGAGTCTTTTTTGCCTTTTTTGTCATCCTTCTTTGCACCAGGTTTTTCTCCTTCAGACTCTGCACTGGAATCTTTGCCTTTCTTTGTGTCTTTTTTACCTTTTTTATCATCCTTCTTTGAACCCGGTTTTTCTCCTTCAGACTCTGAGCCAGAATCTTTGCCTTTCTTTGTTTCCTTCTTGCTCTTTTTATCATCTTTCTTTGGTCCCCCCTTTTCTTCTTCTGATTCTGTGCCAGAATCTTTACCCTTCTTTGTGTCTTTTTTACCTTTTTTGTCATCCTTCTTTGAACCCGGTTTTTCTCCTTCAGACTCTGAGCCAGAATCTTTACCCTTGTCCTTTTTGCTTTTTTTGGTATCTTTCTTTAGACCTTCTTTTTCTCCTTCAGAATCTGAACTCTTGCCCTTCTTTGAATCTTTTTTACCCTTTTTGTCATCTTTCTTTTCCCCTTCAGATTCTGCTTCTGAATCTTTGTCCTTTTCACCTTTCTTGGGTTTTTTTGTGTCTCCTTTCACGGCATCAGGCTTACCTTTTAATTCTGCTTCTGACTCTGATTTGTCCTTCTCTGCTTTCTTGTCATCTTTTTCTTTCTTACCTAGTTCTGGGGATGATGGTTTTTCCCCAGCACCCTTGCCAGGATGAGTTGGTTTGGCTGGAGGCTTCCTCCGAGCAGCTAAATACTCAGATGGTCTCTCAGAAATTCTCATTAAAGAACGATGCATCCACAATGGTCGTTTGTGATCTCTTAATTTTTCTTCATCGATTGCCTGAAATGTTGGGTAGAATAATGATGGGCAGTTTGTGAGTATGTGTGTAGTATCACATGCCAAATATATTCTAATTTCAATAATAAAAAATATATTGTGATTAAAAATGATTCCATATTTAGTTCTGCTCTATGATGTTATAATTTTTAGTTATATTTTCTTTGTTCAGAAGGCAGGGTAACAGAGACAGTGGCAAAGACAGAAAGAGAGCGGGAATCTTCTTTTCCTCTGCCTCATTTCCTAAACACCTGTGATGGTTGGCTCTGGTCCTGGACAAAACCAGAGGTCTGGAATTCCACATGAGTCTTTCATGTGGATGGCACGGAATACACACTTGCTCTGTCATCCGCTGCCTTCCCAGGCAAGTAACAGGAAGTTGGACCGGAAGCAGAACAGGTGAGACAAGTGAGCACCCTGATATTAGGTGTCTAAATTGCAAGCAAGGCATTTACATAGTATATCACAATGCCGGACCCACCCAGATCATTTTTAGAATGTATAATTGTACTTCATTTCAGCTGATTTTTAGTTCAGTATTTTTGTAATCCCCACATGAGGTTATGTTAAAAGTGGTAACTCATATCTTATCAGAATCAATATTCATAATCAGGAAAATCAAGTAAGGTTTTTATTTTTTTTATTGTGTTCTTGAAAATTCTTGGGATATCTTTCCCAGTTCCCTTTCTAAATAAACCCAGAAATTAGTTATTCTTCAGTATATGCTAGTTGCAAATACTGGAATATCATCATTTTATTGTCACTTTTTATGGATTTTGGAAATAGAATTCAGTATGTACTTAAAGGAAAAACTTGAAATTCTTCCTTCTTAGTTGGGTATAAATTATCGTTAAGTCAGTAACAATTAATAAAATCTGTGACATTCAGTGTGTGCTGTGATATATTACATTTTAAGCTCCTACGAAATATCTGTACATGTACATGGCAAAAATAGCTAAGTTGGTAGGGATGTAAAACAACAAATTGAGAAGGAAACATGACCAATATTGATGGGATTCATTTTCTAAAATAAGGAAGAGCTGATCATATGATTGTTTTGTGAACACTTCATTTTTTCTCAATTTGTGTTAAAGACAATTACAAAGACAGATGGGGGTTGGGAGGGAGGATCTTTCAGCTGGTAGTTCCCTCCCCAAATGTCTGCAAAGGCTGAAGCTGAGCCAAGCCACATAAAAAAGCCTGAAACTTTCTCCTGGTTCCCTAATCACTTGGACCATCTTACCCTGCTTTCCCAGGCACATTAGCAATTAGCTGCATCAGAAACAGAGCAAGAGAGTCTTGAAATGGTATCCACATGGGATGCTCACTGACATCACAGGTGGTGGTTTTTTGTCAACAATAGTATTGACACTTACTCCCCCAAAACATTTGTTTAAGCATTTTTGTATTTCATGGTAGTTCCAGAAATGTTAGGAAAAATTTACTTCCCAATTCTTAGAACTGAAGATTGAAATTCAGCAAGTTTTAATACAATTTGTGACTCTACTGAATGGTTCCTCCAGCTGGGTAGCATTTGTCAAGTGAAACTGTATCATTTTGGTTTCTAGATTTCTGTGCTCCTAGGCAGTTAACATTGGGGCAGACATTATATAGAGAGAAATGCAAATAAGATACTCCATATGTCCCCATTGGTAGAATTTCAGTGATCCTTAACAGCGCTATACACTATGGCAGCAATCAGCCATGTGTGCACTTGTTTTTCTTAATTAAATTTGATGTAAAAATCAGTGGTTCTTAAATAACAGACTGATGGGCTTATGGCTGCTTATGAAGGACTATTCTATTGTAGTAATATGGGAAAAATCAGTTTAGGGGGTTGGAATTTGGGGAGAGGGTAGGGAAATCCCAGACTCTATGGAATTATACCATAAAATTCAAAATTAATAAATTTATGCTAAAAAATTCAATGTCTCATTTGTGCTAGCCTCATTTCAAATGTGAGTTCCACCATCCTAGAAATTTTGTTGATCAGCTTAAAAAAATTATTTATTAAGATAGTAGATATATGTTATTTTCAATACTAACAGGAGTTGTACGGTTTCGCAATTGGGAAGGTTTTGATCTTCTTTTTGTTCCTGGTCGCTGTGGTTTGGGAAATGCCAGGGAAAAGTGTTGTTGATTCCATGATTTCTTGCTTAATTCACTGACTAAAATGAATAAAAAAACCATAATTATAAGAAGTTAAAAATTTATTGTAATTGAAAGAGTGAAATGCATAGCATGTAAATAAACAAGTTATTGGAATTATGGCTTCATTCACATAATATTTGAAATTCACTGCTATCAATATGAGAAAAAAACTTAATTTTTCTATCTTAATTTACAGTTAACTGTATATTGTGAAATAAATGGGATGAAACAGTATAACTGCTTCATTTTACATCTTTCTATCTCTGATATTCTGGATTTTCCTTTTATTCTCTTGGATGGAGTACAATTATATTGAAGGCAGAACAGTTTTTATTGCTTCTATAGCCCAAAATACTAAACACAAGAGCTAACATAAATATTCAATACTTAATCTGAAATGAGTACTAAAGCTTTGCAACACCATCCGCAACATATATTACCTTATCATTAGTCATTTTCCAAGGTACAAGAGTAAATGTTATATACTCAACAAATTAGTTTCACAGGTGACATATTTAAAGATGAAAAGGGACAGGTTACCCAGAAACTATCAGAAACTGGGAGTAATATCCATAGTGAGCGATATTGCCATTGCAAAGATTTGTAATGCTGGTATATATAAAAACAAATAAAGCAAACCCCACAAAACCACAACCCCCACACTCAAAAAAAACAAAAAGACAACATTTTCCTTTGAGCTTCCTGGAAACAATGTATGATGATTACTGGGGAAAAGTGAATGAAAGGCCAATTATGCTGAATCTGTTGGGAAACCACTTGATCTTCTGAAGCTTTTTCCAAGTTACGTTGATTTCCCTTTTCCAATGATGTGTCTGTTGCCCAATTGTAAATGGAAACAATTTGTTGAGAATGTACTGTAAGAGATCCCTGACATGTGCCAGAATTCTTTAATTTCTATGTTGCTTTTCAGCTGTAGGAATATATGATTACATGATCACTAAAATGCCAATGTACTTATGTATGGCAGAACATATTACTCATTATTCCTTTAACTTAGGAAAGGTGAAATATATTTAGAAGTTTCTCACTGATCCCAGGAGTATGCTACTTTGGAGAATAAATGACGATTTTTGATTATATTTTGTGACAGGGTTTTTTGTTTGTTTGTTTTTGGATGTAAATTTTGTTTGGATGATAACAATCATTCGAGCTTAAACTTAATCAAATACATCTTATAAGGAATTTCAAATTATTTCTTACCTGGAATATAATTATCATATGTCCCAAAGTTTACTTTTTGGCTATTAAAAAGAAAGGGAAAGTTTTAACAACTTAGTCAAACCCAGATAATTAATAACCATTACTGTAGATAAATACTCGCTCGCAAAAACTGGAAATTTTGTTTTTTCATTTTATGAACTATCATTTATGTATAACCACATGCTTCATTTGCATATTTTAAAATAAAAATATTTAATTAAGGTTTCCAAATTACTGTTCCAAGTTCCCCTACAAATGATTTCAAATCCAAATACAACTTTATAGACACTATCATATAGTATTAATTGAATCCTCAATGTGGTCAGAGAACTTCAGCAAATAAAATTTTCTTCTTAAAAAAAAAAAACCTGATTTATTTATTTTAATCAGAAAGGCAATTTTATGGTGAGAAAATGAGACAAAGAGAAATATCTTCCATCCACTGATTCACTCCCTAAATGTACACAACCGTTGGGGCTGAGACTAAAAACTAATAGCCAGGAATTTCTCCCGGATCTCCCACATGAATGTAGGCTCCCATAGATAAGCCATCCTCTGCTGCTTTCATAGGCCATTAATAGAGAGCTGGATGGAAAGTGGAGTAGCTGGGACATGAATTTGTGCCCATATGGGATGCTGTGCACTTACAGGAGAATTAGTCAGTTGAGCCATTGTGTCAATCCCCAGAAAATCTAAATTTTAAATAACATATCCATGTGCCTTTGACTGTGTGTGTGCACGTGGGCATCACAAGTATCGAAATGGAATTTCATTTATTTATTCTCAAGAAAAGTCTGAGAGATAAAACTGTTACAAACCATCCTCCATTTCCAAATACTTACTATTTTTATGAATATATGAACATGCTTACTTGAATGAGAAGAAGTTTTGTGATCTTTTTAAAATGTGTGATGGAAATCAGCAATGAAATCCCTTAGATAAAATGTATGTAATATTCCACTATATTGCAGATACACTGTCATCATTGATTATGAATTTTCAACTTGTAAATACATTCACACAAAAATGTTCTTATGTAATATTTTACTTATTTTGATAGTATGTGAAATCAAGAATTAAGTTCATAAAATATAAAATATTGGTACATGACTAAAGATTGAAGTGGTTATCATGAAACCTAGCACATTACTGTAACTCCATAAAAATATATAAAATTTGCATTGAGTAAAATATACAATTAATTCTTAATAATTTATGCACTCAAAAATTTTCTTCAGTGACTGAATATACCAATTTTGCCTGGCTGACTCAATCTGAATCTCAAAGTTTTGATCCAATTTTGTACACAAACTAAGGAGGAAATTTGGATGCTTAATTATGATTATGCATTATCCTATTCCAAATGTTATGAAACCAAAAAATTATTTGATTAGGAAATGCAATTAAACTTGATAATTTCAAAATGGCCAATGGCCATAATCAATCAATTACTGTGGCATATACTTTAAACATTTTCATTCATTTATTTCAAAGACAGAGTGACAGAGAAGCAATTACACAGAGAAAACTTCCACCCAATTGTTCACTCCCCAAATGGCCTCAGTATAAAGGTTTGTGGCAGCTGAAATCAGTTGATAAGAATTTTATTCTGGTCTCTCAGTGGGTGATGGGGGCCATCTTTCATTGCTTTATGAAGATCATTAGTGAAAAAAAAAAAAGCACAGATTGAAAGCCAGGACTTGAGTTAGTACTCTGATCTGGGACATTACAATTGGAACTGTGAGCTCAGCTTGGTACTCTACAAAACCAGCCCATCTATGGCATATTCTTTATAATCTACAAATTGAATTAGAAATGAATAATATATTCTCAATGTAAAAATGTTTTAAAAAAACAACTTCCTCCAAAGAACCAATTCTTTAACAAAAATCACAATGCAAACTTATAAAAAATAAACTGGGCAATAGCATAACATACCAAAAAGTAAAGGATATTGTTAACAATTTACATGAGATAATGCTTTATGTAACAGAAGAGATTAAAATCAGTGTTTCAACAATTTGAAAATTAGGGTCAGCTGGTGACATAATGAACTAAGTCACCACCTGCAGTGCTGGCATCCTGCATGACTGTGGGTGTAGCTCCCTACTGATGCACCTGGGAAAGCAGCAGAGGATGGCCCAACTGTGTGGGCCCCTGCACCCCCATGGACAACCTGGAAAAAGCTGTTAGCTCCTGACTTCACGGTGGATCAACCCAGGTAGTGATAGCCATTTATAGAGTGAACCTTTCTCTTTCTCTCTCTCTTCCGCTCAATGTGTAAACTATGTGTGTGGTATTACCATGCAATGCAATGATACTGAGCAATCTAGAAGAGTAGACTACTGGCATATAACATGATACTATGAAACATTTTAATAAAAACATACAGGAATATATACTAAATGTGTGTTCACTAAGGTTTTCTCGGCAAGCCTTTCAAGAAATGGCAGAACTGTCACTCTAAGATTGAAACTGAAGAGCATTTTGTTAGGAAGAAGCAGGGTGAATTGACAGAAATATGGCCCAGTATAATCTTTTGTTGTGGAAAAAAATGTATGTTTCTTTAAATTAGTTACCTTACATACAGCAATAATGAAATGGATTCTGCTGATTTGCTGTTTTACTGAGAAGAGTTTATAAGCTCTTCAAAATGTAGTGAATTCACTGTGAAAATTTATGTCTTAATCAAGTAAATTAGTTCATCCTTGAACTCGATAGCATTTTCCATTTCTCCCCCAAATCTAATTCTATTATGAAGAACTTTTCTAAATTTTCCTCCCTGCCTTCAAGAAATTCTCTATTTGGATGCATTTGGATTTTTTTTTTTCTTTTTCTCTTATAACAGTGTGAGAAATCCTGACACAAAGTAACAAACCAATAGTTTATTTTTTTTTTATTTCAAAACTTATTTTCTTTTGAATGTAGATGAGTTCCAATGATGGTTTTATTTTGAGTTCCTTGACTAGGGAATTCAAAATAAAGACATTTAAAAAAAAAGATTTATTTATTTTTATTGCAAGGGCAGACATATATATGTATATATATATATATATATATATATAGAGAGAGAGAGAGAGAGAGAGAGAGAGAGAGAAGGAGAGACAGAGGGGAAGATCTTCCATCCAATGATTCACTTCTGAAGTGGCCACCATGGCCAGACCTGAGCCAATCCAAAGCCAGGTTCCAGGAGCTTCCTCTCTAGGTCTCCAGCATGGTGCAGAGTCCCAAAGCTTTGGGTTGTTCTCTTTTTCTAGGCTACAAGCAGGGAGCTGGATGGGAAGCGGTGCTGCCGGGATTAGAACTGGCACCCATATGGGATCCTGGTGCGTTCAAGGGGAGGACTTTAGCCACTAGGCCACTATACCTGGCACTAAAGACATTTTTGTGATCTGAGTTGTGCATGTGTATTTATGTTAGTATACATCAAGTGGGCTCAGTGTAAAGACAATGTATTTAGCAGGTAGATATCAGGAATATCTTTAGATATCCTACAATCTGCAAGATGCTATCATCTTCCCTCTTCCAAACCCTCCTCCCTAACTTGTCATTCTAACAAAGAATTGTCTACCTTTAAACATCTGTAAAGCAAATGTTGACAAGCCTGCATGTAGAACAAGTGTTTTGAGGCCTATGTACATCAATGTTAACACCTAGACCTGTAAGGTAAGGGAAGATTCTATTTCTTAGCAGGGAAGAAAAACAAGACACAGCAAACATAAGATTAATGTGCTAACAATAGAAATTTGAGTGTTCAGATTTTAGATACTCTATGATATCAAATTTTTATGGCAGATTATTCTGCTTCCTTTTGAAATCTTATTCTAGTTCAACATTACAAATGCATGATGTTGGACTTATATTGTGACATAGCATGTAAAACCATTGTGAAATGCAGTAGAAAGAAATAAGATGGTAAAATTGGGAATAGACATGTTCAAACAGATGGCGAATCATTAACCAGCATGAGGCAGAGTGGCTGCAATCTCTTGGAATAGGAGTGGACAGATTAATGGTATAGGGATATTTCGAGACCCATGGCATAGCAAAGAAGTAGAGGCACTTTGTAATGTTGCAGTGACAAGATGCCCCAGTGGTGGTTGGCAATTGGCAATCAGAGCTTCACCCATGGCCAGGTACGAAGGGAAGTTCACTGAGAGCTCAGGAGGTGAACCCAGGCATACAGCTGCCAATCCTAATGATTTTCTTGATTTGACCATGAATAGAAGCAGTGGGCAAGAGCTCTAGCAGCAGGTGCAGGAACAGGGTAGATTTCACAGCTCAGACAACCACCAGTGCCACATTGGGCACCATGTTGTGTGCTGAGGAAAAAGACTGTGGGGCTGGAAAGACAGCAGTGAGCAGTGTGTACACTAAGCCAGGTTCCACCAAAGACAGGATCCTCCATGCCTAATGGTCAGTAGGCCTATATATCCACTAGTGCCTTACCTGGTGCTATTTTATTTACCTAAGAAAAGATTTGGGGGTGGGTGCTAGAATAACAGTAGGCTTCACAAGTGCTAAGCTGGGAGAGAACCAATATCTGGCTCAATGTGCTGCACTGATCCCACAGAGAAAAGAATACTGAATTTGCCTGCAGGCCCAGACATCTACCAGTGCCACATTGGGCACTCTTGTGAAATGAGGAAAAGCCTGTGTAGTGGAAGGAACAAAAGCAAGCCTCCCAGGTGCTGAGCCAGGAGAGAACTCACTTCTGGCTCAACATACTGCACTTGTCTGTCAGGGAAAATGGTACAAACTTGACATCCTCTAGGTTCCACCCAAATCATTTTGGGTGGAGTTCAGACATAATGGCCAGCCTAGCACAAGAAGTCAGGACTGAACTCATTGGAGTGGTGCAAGTGACTGCAAATGAGGAACTAGGATCGAATGTAATCAGGAATATTGAGCTGTAGACTACTGGGCAACACAGCTTAGAAACTGTCCCTAAGGAGACGCATCTGCTAACTGGAATACAATGACCAAGAGCAAGAAGAAACAGAGGCACAATGAATATTATTGAAGACTCCCCTGCAAAGGAGCAAAAGTTTTGTCAATCTCAGCATTAACTGAGGAAAACATCAAGAAAGTGGGTGATACAGAATGCAGAAAACTCATTATAAAGCTTCTTAACAATGATAAGCACATCTAGAGGTTCAAGGAATTTAAGGAATATGTCACACAGGAAATAACAACACTGAAACAAAATCAGGCCAAATTATAAGAAATGAAGGGCACAATGGGGCAAATTAAAAATCCAGTAAAAAGTCTCCAGAGCTAAATGAGGAAGAAGAAAAAAATCTCAGAATTGGGAGATATTTCTTCTCACAATGGGGAAACAATCAAAAAGCTGGAAGCAGAACTGGGTCAAGCTAAAAAAATTCAAGAATTAAGAGACACTGTTCAAAGGTCTATATATAAGTTATGGCAGGTCTAGAAGGCACAGAAAGAGAAGTTGGGTTTAAAAAATGTATTTAATGAAATAACAAAGATAAACTTCCCTTATTTGGGAAAGGAATTGGGAAACAGAATACAGGAGGGACATAGAACTCCCACAGGGTTGACCAAAAGCAGTGTTCGCCACAACACATGATAATCAAACTCTCTTCAATCTAACGTAAGGAAAAGATCCTTAAAGGTGCACATGAGAAAACTCAATTAACATTTAAAAGAAGCTTAGTCAGGCTCATCGATGACCTCTCACAGGAAACTCTTCAAGCCAGAAGAGATTGGCATGACTTATTTCAGATTCTAAAAGGAAAAATTCCTCAGTCCAGAATAGCTTACCCAGCAAAGTTTTCCTTTGTCTTTGAAAATGGAATAAAATTCTTCCACAGCAAAGGAAAGCCAAAAGAATAGCTCCCACCAAAACCAAGGGCAAATGTGAAAAACATCCCAGTAAAATAACAACAAAAGACTAAATCCAACAATGAACAACCCATTTGCTAAGATGACAGTACCAAATTACTACCTATCGCTATTAACACTGAATGTAAATGGCTTAAACCTATCAATTAAATGCCATCCAGTAGCATGTTATTTAACATGTTGTTGTAATATTTAAAATTTTTCTTCCTGTTGTTGATTTTGTTTATGGCTTTTTGTTTAAGAGGATCTACAGTAATTGTGTAGATGAGGCTATCATATCCAGATGTGAAGATGTAATGGAATATACATCTCTTATGTCAAATCACAGATAGATATCCAATGAAACTGCTAAATAAATCTTGACAATAGGATAGTGGACTCTGCCATTGTCCATACCTACAATGTCAGGATAGATTTCAATAGTAAAATGATGGATTTATGATTGTCTATAATGGACTATGCTAATTGTAAGAATATAGGAGAAACCACTGCACGAGAGAGGATTGGGGGAGGGTGGAGAGGAAATTCCATAGTGTATGGAATTATATCGTAAAATAATAAGCAAAATTTTTAAAAAGAAAAAAAGGAAGGAATAAAGGAAGGAAGAATGAAAACACTGTGATAGTACATTGTATATGGACGCTTGTTTAAGTCCAGATGCCAGATTTGTAATGCCACTTCTTGCTAAAGGCCTGGAAAAATCAGTGGAAAATGACCCAAATGTCTGGTTTTCAGTCACACATATAGACATCCCATGTGAAGCTTCTGGCTGACTTTATCTGGGACCATAGGGGAATAAAACAGAATGTTGAATCTCTATCTTTCTCAGTGAATCACTCTCTTTCACCATTTCTGTTTTTCCCCTCTTTCTCTCCTAAACTCTGACTTCTAAATACATAAATAGATCTTTAAAAGAAGAAATAGAAGAAATGAGTTGATTAGCACAACTTCAACTGCAGGCCAGTGCAAGAAGAGATGAAACTGGTTGTACGGAGTAGTTCAGACTTGGATGGAGGCCTTAATGATAAGTAAATTGGGAAATGAGAAAATCAAAGAAGCTTTTTGTTAGCTACAAGTTGGTGCCATACTCACAGAAACATTGTATTAACAAAACAATAGTCTAGCTACCCATAATAATTTTTGAAAAATGACAAATGAAAAATTCTCTTCTTTTCAAAGTCTCTATGTTGAAAGAAGTGTTTCATTTGGATTCAACATTGTGACACAAGCGATAAAGCCAACAGTGGTGATGTTGGGTCCAGGATGGGGTGTCATCTCTTTTACTTTAAATATACCTTCCTGCCATTGAACTTGGGAAGGCAGGGGAATATTGTGCTGATACTTGCCTCTTATATGGAAAATGAAAATGGAATTCCTGACTCTGGACTTCAGCCAAGGCCCATAATTAGTTGTTGGGCTATTTGGGAAGGGAACAAAAGAATGGAAAATCTCTCTTTTCTTCTCCCTCTTCCCCTGCCCATTTACTTTTAAATAGACTTACGTGAAACACTTGGCCGACCTTATCTGAGACCATACAGAGAATGAAACAGTTTGTGGACTCTCCCTCTCTTTCTCCATCTATCTATTTATCTCTCCCCTTTCTTCTGTAAACCCGCCTTTTAAATAAATCAATAAATTACATAAATTTTAAAAAATGATGTTGTTAGATAAAGTTGACACAAGTACCTATAGCAAACTTATTTCCTTCCTTCCCTCCTTCCTTCCTTCTTTCCTGCCTGCCTGCCTGCCTTCCTTCATGCCTTCCATCCTTCCCTCCTTCCTTCCTTTCTTTTCAAGATTTATTTTCTGAGTGGAGTTACAGAGAGAGCAGGATAGACAAAGATCCTCTATCCACTGATTCATTTCATGCTGGCCACAATTTGGGTTAGGTCAAACTAAAGTCAGGATCTCAAAACTCCGTCCCATTAGGGTGTTAATCACCTAAGCACATGGGTCATTCTCTGATTCATTCCTCATGTAATTTAGCAAGGATCTGTATCTGGAGAATCTGGGTCTTAAATTGGTACTCTGATATAAGTAGCAGCTAAACCTGTTGCACCACAATGCCAGCCTTTTATTTTCAATATATATTCTATCTTTATTCTAGTGATAAATTAAAATATAATCCAGAAACAGGGCCTGGTGTAATGAAGTAGTGTTTCAAGTTCTCGCCTTGCATGTGCCGGGGTCCAGTATGGGTGCCGGTTCTAATCCCAGTGCCCTGCTTATCATCCAGTTCCCTGCTTGTGGCCTGGGAAAGCAGTTGAGGACGGCTCAAAGCCTTGGGACTCTGCACCCGTGTGGGAGACCTGGAAGAGCTCCTGTCTCCTGGCTCCTGACTTTGGATTGGCTCAGCTCCAGCCGTTACAGTCACTTGAAGAGTGAACCATTAGACAGAAGATCTTCCTGTCTCTCCTCCTCTTTGTAAAATCCGCCTTTCCAATAAATAAAATAATAATAAAAAAATAATCCAGATACAATTTTCTTTGTATATCAGAATTCCGTCCTTTAACAAAGATTTTATGCTTTCCTTAAAAATCTTGAACTAGTGAAATCTTGTTATCTTCTTTATCTTTGACACAAACCAAGCATAAAGAAACTACTTTTATGAAATTTATGTCCTGATACATTACAATGGAAAGTATTTTGCATACTCAGCATTTCTCAAGGAGATTGCAATTAGCACCTGTTTGTGTTCAATTCGTAAAAAATACCAAGCAAAAAATAGAAGTAAATAAACATACACTTGTAAGCTCACAATTAAAGGATGTAATGGAGACCAGAGTATCAAGAATCAAAGAAAACTGACAATGCATCTCTACCACTGAATAAAAGCAGAGTTCCAATAAAACTTCTAAATATACCTATACAATAAAAGATTGAACTTTCTGCCATTGCCTATAGCAACAATGCCATGACCCATGATAGTTATTTTACTACAAAAGACTACCTGATAGATTATTTTACTACTAAACACAGGGACAACAGGAAGGAAAAACAATGGGTGGTAGTGAGAGGGAGGAAGCCCTGTGCCTGAAAAATTGTAAAATGGAAAATGATAATAAAAATTAATAACAATAACAATAATAATAGAGTACCACACTCATTACAAAGTGTTTAACACTCTTGACACTCTAGTCACTGTGACACACACACACAACACACATGAGTTTCCAGAGACTTCTAAATTGTCCCAGAAAAGAGATCTTCCCCTTTCACACCCAAATGAGACCTATAAAGTGTTTACTTTTATAACCCCCCAATACAGTCTCATAGCAAGTGAAGATCAACTTACATTTAAAAAGACTTATTTAAAACCATATATCTATTTTTGCTGAAATGTATGGACTTGCTAAGTCTTATCAAACCAACCAGTGGTATGTAACACGTTTTCTTTGGCATATGAATGACAAAATAATAAAATGTAATAAGGATTTAAAAGAGCATCTTCATGCCAAGGAGAACAAACTGACAGGAAATTTTCATTAATTTTGAAACAAAAAGATTGTCAACTTACAATCTTGGTACAGACATTTCCCCCACCTATGGCTTGCCAACACTTAGGTACTGTACATTCCAATTGGTGATGATGAGGAATGACATCATAAAGGGGAAAGGAGTACTTGTAGTTAAAGGGGAAGGGCAAAAGGACCCATTTTTATATGCTGTGCTATCTGGAGTTGCTTTCCCTCTATTACTGTCAAAATTCACTTAGATAACAAATTTTAATGAAATGATTATTTTGTGATTTATACCAGTTTTATAAGTTGGTGTGGAGGAAAAATAAACCTAGATATTATCTCTGAAGTTCAAGTGTAATTATAATTTCCCTTATGTTCATGCACAAGTCCTTGCTGTAACTTTATCTTTTTCCATTTTAACTTACTGACAAGGATTCAAACTTTCAGACAAATTCAAATGCCATTAAAATTATAATTAACTGTAATAAATAATATATAAATAGCATGTGATATATTGTATTTTATAATATATTATGCCATAAATACATGATATAATTTCATATACAGCTATTATATAAGATAGGATTTATAATATATACTTCATAAAACAATTATGTCCTATGTACTATAATACATAATTATAAATGCGCACCAACAGCTATACTCCACAAATCAATAAATACAAGCACAATATGCAATGTTTTTTGAGCATGTTGTTCTTATTTAGCTCTTTCCAGGGCATTTCACTTGATGTTTTCTTCCTTAAAGGAAAGCTTTATTGTATCTAGAGTAAGAGATGAGCCGTGAAAATTTTACTTGTTTGACTCAGGATGAAGTTTCTCATGCTGTTGTAGAATCATAAGAGCAGGGAAGAGACATCGTTAGTTTCCTGTGATCTTACTAGCTCCTTATCCTTTGACGTAACAATGTTCACAGTGATGTTTTCCTGAAATGCACTGAGTTAATAAGCAAATAATAAATTCTAAATTTACAAAATGTTAATTAATGTTTCACATTTTATGCCTAGTATATGAAAATATACATAACTAATGTGTATTTTCCAATAGCATATGTGTAATCAAACCCAAAGTATGACTGGATAACCTTGATTTCTGCTCCATGATTTCTCCAGAGACTCCAATTATTGTCTGTAATTAAATATATATTGTCTATTAATGGCTTAGAGAACCCGTGGTCTTTATAAAAATGAGGATTATTATCTTTCATTATAAAGCAAATTACCGCAAACATTTGTAGCATAACAAAATGCTCATTTAGTTTCTAATAGTTATGTGGAACAGAGGATCAGTCAAATTCATCTGGGTTTTTTTTTGTTCAATCAGAAAGCTAAAATCAAATCATCAGCAGCATTAGGGCCTAACCAGAGGTTTCTAAGGAAGAAACAGTTTCTGAACACATCCAAATATCCCCACCCTTTGAAAAAAGTTGATTGTAATTTTAGCTATTATTTTCTAAAAGACTAATTAATTGTTTTGAATGGCATAATTACCAAAATGGAAGAAGGGATAAGGAGAGAAACATCTTCTATCCCCAGCATGACTTCTGAAATGCTCACAACAGCCAAGGCTACAGCAGAGGGAAGTGCAGCTTCATCCAGATCTCCCTAGTCAGTGCTAGGAACTCAAGGACTGGAGCCACAAGTGTTGCCTGCAGACCAACAGGAAGCTGGTTGGATATTCCGATTAGTAGAAATTGAACAAGACACTCCAACACCCATTGGTGTCACAGCTTGTCCGAATGGTTGCTTTAGCCACTGAGCCAGAAGGCCCGTGAATGTATTTATTATATCTCTCTTTTTCTGCTTGCTGTCAATTGTGAACTGCCTTTTACTATTAGCAGTTGTTTATATTCTTTATCGTGACAATATTTTGTTCCTTTCTTTTCATTACTGAAATATCTCCCGTCATTTCTTTTTTTCCTTGTTCTTGTAATGCTACCAACTGAAGAAAACTCTCTCCTTAAAGGCTGCAAGGTCCACCCACATAGTATTTCTATGTTAAAATTAACTGTGCTTCATAATAGAGCATATCCAGGGGTGATAGCTTTTGGTGCCCAGTCTCTCTCATACCTTAGATATCGTCTAATTTCATTCACATATATGAAAAGACATGTGTATTACATATAAATGAAAATAATAACTGAAATAATTTGTGTATATGTGTGTAAGCCAGTTTTCCCAACACCATTTATTATATTATGCTTACAGTAATTTATGGTCTGAGCATTTCTATAAAACATAAATCAGATGTATGTATGTGGATTAATTTCTGGATTCTATATATTGTTTCATTTGTCTATGTGTTGGTTTTTAATGCCCATATGTTGTTGTTTTAATTACTATATATTTTATAGTATTCTTTGCCTGAATTTTTAAATTTTTTCCCTCAGGATGGTTTTGCGTATTCTGTTTTTCTTTTATTCCATATGAAATTTAGGATTGCTTTTCTAATTCTGTAAAGAATACCATTGGTATTTGGATAGGGATTTTATTGACTCTGTAGGTTTTTGGGATAGTACAGGCAGTGCCATTTTCTTCTAATGACACTTTGTTCTAATCCATGTGCAAGTAACGTTTTTCCATTTTTAAAGTGTTTCATGATTTTTTGGTATTGATTATTCTAATCCATAAACATGTTTTTTTCTTTTTTAGTTCCATTGCTCTTCATCAATTAAGAGGTTTTCATTTTTGAGGTACTTCATGTCTTTGGTAAGTTATTTCCCATTATTTTACTTTTTCTAGCTGTTGCATATGGGTAGAGCCAGTTTCTTGATTTCTTAAGTGATTCACTGTTGTTGTATTCATATGCTGTAGATTTTGAACATTAATTTGATATCCTGAAAATTTGCTGATTTTGTCTCTCTTTAGTAGAGAAAACAGGGGTTTTCTGGGCATAGGGCCTTGATAAGTGACAATTGGACCTGTTGATCTTAGATTGGATGTATTTTATTTCTTTTTCCTTTAATCTTGCCTAATCACTTTAATTAGTACCTCCAGTACTGTGTTGAAAACCATGAAAGTGGGCATCATTGTTTTTGTTCCTCATTTGAAGAGACAGTCTCAAATGATGACTTTAGCATGATCTTAGCTGTTAGCTTATTTTAAATAGCCTTTATTATGTTGGGGAATATTCCTTTTATCCCTAGTTTGGCCAAAGGTTTTTGTTTGTTTTACCATAAATGGATGTGAAGTAGTCAGGTGCATTTAGCTCTTTATGTATTATTTGCATCCCTTCTCTTGAAGATTTGTGAATCTTTTTATCCTTGGAGAGTTCGACTATAACATGTCATAGGATAGAATTAATTGTATATCTGACAGATGATTTTGGATCTTCCTGTATCTGCATAATTATATCTTTCTCTGGCATAGGAAATTTTATGAGTTGTTATCTTTGAATACACACTCTATCTAATTGGCATACTCAAGTCCTTCTTTCATCCCAATCACTAAATTATTTTCTGTTTCACATTTCCCATAAGGTTTTTTCATTCATCCTGATTAATTTTTTTTCTTTTCTATTCCAGCTGTATAATGTTAATACTCTTTGCTTGAGCTAATTAGTGCTTTCTTCTGTTTATTTTGTACTTCTGTTGATGTTCTCTATTACTTTCATAATTTAACCTAATGTATTTCCTAGTGGAAGTACTTCTAATTGGTTTTGCTTCAATTTATCTGTCAGTTTTAGGAGAGTATTGAATTGTCTGAATTCCATTGTTTCCTTAAAATGGTTATTTTTATTTGTTAAACTATAAATTTATTTCAGATTTAAAATTTGTCAATTTTTTACCATTCCGCCACATTCCCTTCAATTGTAGACATTATACACACATAGCCACAATAAATATGCACAATTTTTCATGAAAACAGGTATTAATATCGCTAAGAGAGGTATTTTCAAAATGATCATAGTATGGAAAAAGGATATATTGGTATTTACAAGATATAATTTCACTAAGGAATACGTATAACTACATATAAAATGTGACATTTGCACCATTTAGTATCTATGTTAACTTCCACAAACAAGCAAAATATATCTTAATTTTTTTATCCTAGCACTTGAAAATTTCATTTCATAGATGGTTGGTTTCTGGTACCTCTTCTTCGGTTACTTAAATGAAGTTCTTATTTCCTGGCAGTCCTTCATGTTTGTTGGAGTGCAGTAGCATATTCATATTAAAGGACTGCTTATAGCAATCCAGCTTAAGTATGACTGTCCTTCTAGAAAATCTAAGCAGTGCCATTCATTTTTCTCTGAGTCTCTCCGTACTGCTCTTTCAGGACTAAATCAAACACTGAGTTGTGATTTGCCTCAGGTCTGCCCCGACATGTTTTTACTGATTTAGTGTTAATGCTTCCCGAATTGAAATTGGTCCCAAATCCTCTTTCTCGCCTTTGGTAGAATCAGACATGTCCAGTGTCAATGTTTGCTTGGATTCCAGTTGCTCTGTAATTCCCAGGTCTGAGAGCATCTTGGCTCCCATCGCTTCACTAGACATTGCCCTAGTAGATATTCTCAGTGGTAGCACTAACCCCATGACTACACTAGTTACCATCTTTATGAGAATTTTCTAAGATATCTTTGCATCTGGACTTTCTCTTAAATCCCCAGGCTTTTTGAGACCTCCTTTTAAATCTGGGTGGTTATATCCATTTCTCTAAAACTCATGAGTCCTGTATGCTTGAAGAGCCATTACCACATAGACCCCAGCAATGTTTATGAATGTTTTTGTTGTAGCAGTAGCCAAGTATGCAATATTTGAACCATATCTGGAGTGACCAAGGAACACTGAATCAGAATGGGAAGAGTGTAAACTGAGGCTTCCCTTGACAGAGAGCTAAGAGCAGTGAGATCTGGTAGATCTGGGTTTAACCTCCTTGAAGCCATTTTGCCCTCAGTGTCTTGGTACTTTGGCTTTGTGAGGAAAGTAGAAACTTGAAAGATGGCCAGTGTCACTAGTCATTTTCATTGTCTGGTTGAATAGCATTTGCCATATTCTAAGTATATTAATCTCTTTATTAAAAGTTCACACCGTTTGTTTTCTCAGACATGTTCCTTTATCCTTCACAATCTAATACAGCCGAAAACCCTCCACATCTTAAAGTTA